TCAGCCCAGGGAGAAAAAAAAAAAAAAAAAGCGGAACTAGAACCAGTGGTTATTAAAAAATTTGTTTCGAAAACTGTTGAGCGTGTTCTTTATTATTATTATTTTTTTTTCCTTCGAAGAAAGACGCAGACGAAAACACCACAGGGAGGGTCCGAAACGGTTATGTCACTCACAATCAGAATACGATATAATTCTGATGGTAGAACTGGTTTTGCCCTGAAAAGTGCCTGCAGTTCTTTTAATGATTCCAAGAATGATTCGTTTCCTTCTGGCGGTACCCGGAACATAGAAATGATACACTTCGTGGAATTCTTTTCCGTGAGTACTTTCTTTGCAAGAATCGAGCCAGTTTCTGTTTATTTGATCGCCAAATCCAGTACCTCTCTCTCTCTTCCCCACCTCTTCTCCTATCTCTTCCTTGCCTTGTAACTAACTTCGGTCTCTGTTTTTAATTAGTTGTCTTATTACCATTTCAGTTGGGACTCATTAAAACTGAGGAAAATAGCTTTAGGGGTTGTATTTGGAAGTCTAGTTGCGAGAAAACAAAGTTCGAATAAACTTCTAACAGTCAGTCACGGATTCCACCCCAAAGCAATAAACGAATCCGAATGTAAAGAGGAAAGTAAGAAGAGAAAATAAAAGGCAATTAAAACATACGAACATCTTTCGGTCGGAAATTATTCATTTAAAAAAGGAAATAAAATCGTTTGGAATTATATCATTTGAAGTTTTCCAAAATATTATTTAAAGTCAAAATTGCATTCTTCCAAATAATGCTGGAAAATATTATATTGTTGTCTCTGTTTAAAACAAAATATCAAAGCACAAATATATTTTATTCAACGGATATAGTATGCAATCACAAACACTTAAATTTCCTGGAATCTCCTTTAATTAGCGTATTATAAACTTTGGAAGACAATTACTTCCTTTTTATTTGATTGAAAACATTTTTTTAAAGAAATTCCTTTTCAACATATCAATCTGATTTTCATTTTGGCATATCAGGAACCCAGTTGAGGAACTCCTACACATTTCTCCCTTCAACTAACCTTTTGGGCTACATTGTGACGTTATTTAATTAGAAAAACCTCGACTTGTGAATAAGCCGTGACTTATGTAAACCGATTTGAAGTGTTTCTGGGCAGGAGCAGCCCCTAGGCAATAAGCAAAATAGGCGACTGCATACGGTGGCAAAATTTGGGAGTAAAAAACCGCTTGAACTATAGAAAAATTAAACAAATAATTAGAAATAAATACAATCAATACAAATATATTTCGTCCTACATTTTTATTCATTACTTCCCTTAAAATTGGGCCATATTTGAACATTACTAAGAGAATTTTGCTAACGTTGCCCATAACTGTTGTTACCGTCGAAAGAATTTTTTCTACATCAAAAATAATAATAAATGATATAAAAACCGTGTCTGCTTTCTCAAAATCATCTTAATGGGGGGTTAACAATGCTAACTGTTGAACAGGAATTCAGTAACAAGTTAGATCGGAAAGAAGTGTGTTATTCACGATTTCGAAGAAAAGAAATTTCGAAAGAGATAGTTCTAATTTAGTTTTAGACTTTGTATAAATGATTGCACTAGTTTTGCATATTGTTTTAAACGTATTTTTAAATTATCTCTGGAAATAGTAGGAATAGTTTCAATTTGTAAACTTGTTGTCGTTATCTCGGTAAAAGTGCAAATTTCGTTTTCCAATAAAATAATTTTCAGAGAATCTGAGTTAGTATTATTGCCTTAATTTTATAATAAGTCGCTTTTCTGCTTTATATAGTTCTTTTATAGTTCTGGTTTTTTTTTTCTCCATAAATTTTTAAGTTCTTTCAGTTCGATCTTTTTTTTATTACAACGTTTTTACGTATTTCACTTGGTGTGTGTCTGTTTGTGTATCAGAGTGTCATAAAATTTTCCAACGTTAATTTAACCAACTTCCCATCAAGCTAGAGCTCTGAAACTTTGAAACTTAACAATGCAATATTTAGACATTTGAGACAAGTTTTAACAAATATTTCCTTTTTTTGGGGGGGAGGGGGGTACATCAATAAATCCTTCGGGATCCAGACTGGCATGAGAATAAATGCCGACCTTTGTCCTCGTTTTGGGTCCAGAGGAGTATGACGTGTAATATATGTAGATTTATCTACACTTAGTACACACTCATCTACACACTCATATTCAAATTAATCTTACCTCACCACCACGTGGTTAGACCTGGTAATCGAAAAATATTTGGAAACTAAGAAGGAAAGGAAGGAAGGAATGTGTTGTAAGAAATTTCAATAAAAAATTTTCAATAACTGATTGATTAAATTGAAATTATAATTAAATTTTTATGAGTTTATTTTGAATTTAATGCATAATAATTAATAAACTTTGCCACCATATCAAAACATTGATTTTTAAGTCGAATTATTTTTGAGTTTGGTTATTGTGGCAAGAACCTTAGGCGTTATTGTTTCGGGTTCGATTAAGAGGTAAAAAGAGTCGAAACTCTTTTACCAGCTTTCGAGAAGTGCTCACTCAGAACGAGTGGGTTGATAAGCTAGAGCTTTGCTGTTTAATTCTAAGCTAGGAGGGTTATAGTTGAGGGAAAGTGAACTGGCATAATCTGTGAAGGAAGTTAATAAACAGTGCTTGTGCTTTTCTGACGTCTCCTCACTTGGATTTGCGACTTTATAGACTATTTAATTAAGCTTTACGATGACTGTAGATTTAAATAATAGTTTGAGACGTTACCACTTTTCGAAGCGTTTAGTATCAAATGATAAATAGCGATTTTCCAATTCGTAAAAACGTCTAAGAAATTTAGGAAACTAATTTTTCTACAAAAAAAACATACATATTACAGTAAAATCAATTAGTAATCATGACATAAAATTAATCAATAAATATTTTATAAAAGTAATTTATATGAAAAAAGTAATATCACCCACAAGAAATATGCCACACACACGTCATTTTAAGAAATTGACGTGCTTTATTAATTGTTCGTAGAATAAAAGAATATCCGTGTGAAAATAAAGCGTTAAAATTTCGAGCCTCTGTAATGAATTTGGAAAAAGGCTTGTAATATTATAAAGAAAAATATTTTTTAACTCAAGGTATCAACTATAAGTAACATTAGCTGTCGGAGCCTCAAGTTGAAATTTCAGGTCGTAATGTGAATTCTGCTGAGTTTTGAAACTTCCATTTCAAACCTAAATTATTGCTTTGACTAGTATAAAATTAAATGAATTTGATAATGCGTAAAAAAGGAGAAAGTTTCTCCTACTTTACATTATCTTTCTGACACCTTTACATGTATTTTTAACTACGTATTGAAGATCTAAACACTCACGCTCGATACGCTTTAATCATCGAGAAAATACTTTCAATAATTGGGAAAAGAATACAAATCTCACTTTTCATGAGTTTTCAAATGCATATTTTATAAAATTGTAGAATTGATTTTGAGTCATATTATAAGAAAGGTATGCACTCTAAACCCAGGGTATCAGATATCCATCTACGGGTTTCCTTCTAAGAAGTAAAAGTCATGTGGCCCCCATCATGTGTAGTAGCAGAAGTATTGTTTCTTATGATTTGCATCACGGTGGTTATGTTGTTCATAGTGAGGTTTGATGTCATATAAATCTTGTACACTAATTATACAGACAGACAGACAGAGAGAGAGAATAGCTTATCTTTTACGTATAGAAGCAAAAGTATTCCCAATTCCCATTGTTTCTTGAAGTTCGTCAGCAATTTTACTTTTAGTTTTCAGCCACCTGGTTTCAGTAGAGGTCAGTGAATAAAAGGGCCTAAAATTGGTGAGTCATCGTTAACACAAAATAACAAAAAATATGATAAAAATCAATATAATTTCTTAAATATTTTCTTAAATGATAACTTAACCAGGCTCAGAATAACCGCACAAATTAATAAACATTATGCAAATAAACTTATTTGTCTTGTTTTCCGCACTCGAAATGTTTACCGTTAAGGAGGCTTGTAGAATAGTAGAATATTATAATGGTGGGGTAAGCATTATTTAATTATTTTCACTAAAGTATTAGTTGTTAGGATGTGATGCATCGATTCAACTTGACAAGAAATACTAGTTCATTGGTGTAGGTTATAGTTAATTATTAACTGATTTATAAAATTTTAGAACTTAATAATTATGTTCAAGTAAAAAATTTTAAAACTTAAGCTATGGTATCTTTAGAAAATTTTTAGTTGTACACTGATATGCTGGCTGGAGTTGAACTCGTCCTTTATCGCTTATCCCCTTGAGGTTTGAGTTGGCAGGCATTATGTCCCACCTGGAGTAAGTTAAGTATAGTGAAGGGGGAAGTGAGCCTCAGTTCTATGAATTCACGTATGTTCTTTTGACCCTTGCTACTCCCTCCTGTTTGCGAAAGAATACTTGACCTCTGACTGTCATTGATAATCGATGATTTATAATCTATTTGGTGGGGTGAAGCACCCTCATTGTTAAACTGGACATTTAACTTTCAATAGTGACAATGAAAGAGGAAATACAAGCATTTGCTCCGAACAAATGTTTGTATTTCCTTCTCATTTTCTCAGATTGTGAAAGGGAAGATAAACAAAATTCTTTCCTAGAACGGCTTTTCTACAGACTGCCTTCCCACTAGGAAGAACATGGAATACACCAGACCTGTCCAACCGGCGGGCCGCAAGTGGTCCTCTCAGTATCTATCTGTGACCCACGGAGCTGGTTTATCTGAACAAAAATTTTAATTTTTGGTGAACATTAAAGTACCAAAGACCATTCCATCAAACATTCATGTCCCTTTTTTCTGGGACTATCTCAATTCATTGATTCTACTATTGTTTCAATTTTTCTTCTAAATTCTTGTTCAAAAGCAACTATTATACTTTTATAAGTTTACGAATATATTAGGATTTCTTAGCATTTATTTCTTTACAGGAAATTATGTATTGGCTTGGAAAAACTTTTAAATCTCAGATAACAGTTCTGGCATAGTCCAGTGGTTAAGATACCTGGTTTTCTCCCAGGGAGCCTGGGTTCGATTCCCGGTGTCGGGATGTTAATTTTATGTTCCTCTTATACGAAGCCAAATAGATTATAATAAGATAGTGCAATTATGTTGGCAAAAAATTCTGAAATGTTTGTTACCATTGTGACTCAGAGCTTCGGTGCATTTAGAATTTTTACATGATTTTCTTTATTCAATTATTGCATTTTTTTTTCAGGCATATAATAACTATTCCCTTTCTTTCTTTTGGTTTTCTTTGTTTTTTTTAAATATAGTTTAAATGGAAATAACTGTGTCAAGCTACCAACTCTCCAATCTCTTGAACTGAAGTGACGAATGCTCCTTATAGATCGGAAGTGAAGTGAAAAAGGAAAAAAACCATCAAGAGACAAAGTAAGTAAGGTGTAGTAAATTGGTAGGTTGTCCACGAGATATCTGAATTTATAATAGTACATGAGTAAGATATCTCGAGATATATCTGAGTGAAAGTTATAAGTCTAGACTAAGATTAATAATTTGTCATTGTACTTAATTTTATTTGTTGTGTATTTTAAATAAATATAGTTAAGACATCATGTATGTGGATACTTCCTATTGTATACGTCATGAACTAGTATTAATAAAAAATAATCTAAACATCCAGATTTTTATTCTATTTTTTTTATTGTGAGGTATTGATTAACTATGTTCGCAACGATTTTTATCTTTTCTTTTTGTTGAGGTGTACAAATCTACTAGAAAAGAAACCTGTTCCAATATTACACTAGAAGTGTCCCAAAGTCCATTCATTGTGGGGCATTTTATTTCTAAAGAGCAGTTCAAAATATAATTGTATCATTATGAATAAAAGATTCCCTAATAATTATCGCTTCATCTTATGAATGTCCTAGTTAATTTATGCAGAGAGAAACGAAACAAAAGGTCCCTTATTAAATAATTATAACATTGTTAAAATGGAAATAGTTTTAATAGAAAGCAGTTATACATCATGCATTGTAAAGATAGCTTAAAAAGAAACTCTCTGAATATTTAAATAACTTGAGCTTAAGTGAAAATCTGATGTAATACACCTCATAAAAGGACACTCCTGTTAAGAACGATTCTGTTATGTCCTAAATAGGGATCAAATCCATTTACTTCGTTTTTAAAGGGACACGTCTATTTATGGAGGCTGATCAGGAGGTAGTATGTCAGTACTTTCTATAGGTTATTTCAGCTGAGAGAGAAATTGAATTTGGTGAGAGGTAAAACTCTTTTTTTGTATCACCCATCGTTTTGTAACTGAAATATTGGTAGTACAAAAAAGGGGTGACTTATCTAAAATATAGTTCACTCTGTAAATACCAAAACGTTCCTCCCCCATCAAAATCTTTTTTTCTAACAAATGGATCAAAATAAATTATTAAAATCACTTTCTCTAATATTATACGTAATGAAAAT